GAAAGCAGTTTAATATTATTTGCACAGTTTTTCAATGTTATTATAAGTCACAAATGATTTAGATCTGCAAGACGATATTTTATACTGAGATACGTCAAATGTGCAGAGGACGAAATCAGAAGGGCAGAGCGAAACCGAGCGAATAAGGCGGACAAAGCGGCCGATAAGATAAAACGTCTTCTTGAAATTGACAATTGACTAAGAAAAATAGAGAAAGCTGCTGAACCGTCGATCCGAGCGAATGCCTTCGATTCGAATCGCTTTGCAGGTCTACAAATCTCTCTGGGGGAACGCGTCGCTGTCCCGCATTCGTTTTATTCGAAAAGGAAAGACAAAAGTAGATCCGCTTCGTACATATGTCTTTGGAACCGCTGTATAAATTATGTAACAAAACAGAAATCAACTATGGAATCTATTTAGTACCACCTTCTACCTTTCAGATAACGAAGAGCAATTGTTAAGTTGATATCAAACATATGGAAAATTAGAAATACAATAATTATTCTCGTATTTCTATTACTAAATGCCAGATATTAACATTTTCACAAATGTTCAAGTCTTTATACCAACATTCGTGTAAAACATTTTTAAAAGCATTAATAGTATGTACATTTTTCAACCCTTCGTTCGAGCTATGAGTCAATGAACAAACACACTTATTTGTACGGTAATGTGCTCGACAGCCTTGACCCCTGGCCGCGTTCACGACGAAATCTACAGCCACTGGCAAATGGATCGATTGACCGAGCACGCTCTCAAATACACTCGAGATGCACGCACTTTGCTCCGACTACCTAGCCCGAGCGCCCATGGTTCTGGCTAAGCGTCTCTCTGGCTTCCATTATCGTCAGCAACGTAGAAACGCCGATCTAAAGGTGCCTATTACCATGTGTACATACTGGCTCGACGCTGTATAATCACGCCACCGGCTGCGGTTCAACCCCAATTAGAGTTTGGGTAATGGAGACACTTCGTCGTGACCACGTGGAACCACAGATGAATGTCGATTCCTCGGTAGGAGGAATTTGTGACAACGCAATCTAAATATAATTGCTTTCGCTTCACGACTTCGTCCAATCAGGCATTAAAATTGAGATAAGCAAAACTCTAAGTCAATTACAAATAATCCATCATAATTCTAAAACTAACTTTTACCGTCAGTTTAATAGAACAGAATAGAACTGAAAAATTGGAATCCTTAGTCGGTTTATTTGTTTATTTCGATATGTCTGCGTATGCAGGCGAGCAACGAAAAACGTGCAAGCAGAAATCTGAGAAACGCGAACGAACGCTATACGGCGGCAAATATAATTATAGACTCGTTGCCGAGGCGAGCAGAAATCGCACGACGAGTCACGCTGTTTGTTTTCTAACAGAGAAACATAAGTTTAATTCTGTGTTCAAAATGAGTACGCGAGGACTTCTCCCTGTCTCTTGCAAAGGAGCTTGCGACTTCATTTTCCTCTACGCTAGGACAGTGAGCCGAGAACGGAAAAGAAAACCGAGATATAGAAAATAATGAGTGATTTAATTGAAAACAACTTTAATATAGTCTTGTGTACGCAAATGTTTTAATTAAATTTTTTACCAGTGCAGAAGTAATAAATTAATAAAACATTGTATCACTGGTAGAAAAGAGTTTCTGTTTCGAACAGCTATTTAGAAAATTGGGTGAATAACTAAATATAAAAGCTGAAACACATTTTTCTATAGATATCGTACGTACAATTCGGTTCAATAAACGCGATAAACTAATACCATATGGCGTCGTCGAACCGGAAAAACCCTCAGCCTGCTCTGATGGGAAAGTTCATTGCAAACCGTCGACAGTTCCAGGGCAACATCGCTACGTGCTATGACAAAAGTCACTAAGGGCGAGAATTCAATTTTTCATGCTCACGGTTTATCCAACAGTGTACGACGTCAGTCACGGGAAAAATTGAAAGGTTTTTCCGATGAAAAATTGCCGTCGAAATCTCTCTATCCGAACATCCATCTCGTAACGCGCAAGATTTAAAAATGTCACGCACGCGTTATCCGTCAATTCCCGTGACGAACAAGAAATCCGTATATTCGGCAGCCGTGGGGGATAAACATCCATCGTTGCTTGCATATCCGGTGAATGGAAACGCATTCGAGAGTGATGCACTCGAGCTACTACAATGCGCGACCGCACTAGAGACTTGCGTGTGTCCGCGCGATGTCATCGCTCCTTTCTATCATCGATGACGAGGTGTCGACGCCTCGCTCCCTTTTTGCTTTGGGAGAAAGAAAAATCCGCCGGAGGTTAAGTGGACGTGAAACAAAAGAACCGAACCAAAATCCACTGTTTTATTTAACAGACTTGCAGACAATCAGTCCTTCCACGTAATTTCGAGCTTGATCATCTTAACCCAAATAAGAAAAAAATGTATTTTAAATGAAGCGATAAAATCTACACAAGTCGTTCTTCTGTGTCAGACATTTCCCACGACGTCTGTTAGAAATTTCGCGAGCAGATGTGACCGAACAACTGCATGATTTCGTCCTAGATTCTAAGCGAGATAGAGCGCGGTATCAGGCGACGCGAGCGAGAAGCGTTTGGTCCGGAAGTCTCGTTCCTTTAATGTTCGCCGCTTATCACCGCGTATCGCGCTATTCCTCGAGGGAACGAGTAACATCCTGCCGAGTAAAATGGTAAATTAGACCCGGACTAGTCCCCGAAACCGCCACCCTAACGTCGCGTTGCCCAACTCGTCTGCCAAACGAATCCCTTCTGTTTCGACGAGGGCACCCGCAGAAATTTCTACGAGACCCTACAGAAAACGATTTGTCGTCGCAATATAAAGGTCCAATTTAACGCTCGGTAATGACGAGGAATGATTAAAGGAAAAAAACGGACTGTTCGTTAATTATACTTTTTGATTTATAATAAAATTATGTAACTTCCTAATAATTACAATCTGTTTTTATCCATCGTGACTTAAGTTAAAAGTAACCGACTTTTGTCCCAGCGATTAAAGATAAGATCTGACGGTGGAGGGATCACGAATTTAGCGGACAAAGAGGAAGCCGAAAAAGCTAAATTGAGGCAGCCATCAAAGTAGGCTGTCTGTCGGCCGATTGTTCACAGAGAATCGTCCCCGTCATTCATCTGACGAATTAGATTGGATCTAGTCACTAAAATTGCCACCCTAATACGAGACCGAGCCTGTCTCCCGCACTCGCAAGGGTGCTATGATTAATTGTCGCCGCTGTTCGACGTATCAGCGAGAAGGGCAGCCGGCTGTTGCGTAACTGATTTAAAAGCTTCCTAAATGGACGAACGATGTAGCCCGTTCGCAGAGTCACGGGTTATATGCAAATGTGCATCGCGAAAATTCGCAAGAGGGTTTCTGCGGTATTTTCTCTAAACGCATAACGTGCCAGGATTTCTTTGATCGCGAGCTATCTATCCTGTAAAGAGAACACCTCGCTTCGAATTTTACCGACTTCGATAAAGTGTGAACTCGGCTTTCAAAGCCGTGTTCCATCGTCCGTTCATGGATGCCCATTCACGTTCATGTCCATTTTGATAAAGTGTTCTAGCAGTTTGGCGAGATTGAAACACGGGTCGCAATTTTTTTTCAGTATACAAAAATGTGGAATTTCTGTTTTGATATATGAAAAAAACTAAAACCGTGAAGTGCGCAAGTTGAAACAGTCACGGAATATGAAAATTAATCGTGAAATGTCGTAAACGTTCAGACTTGAAAAATGTTATATGCGCAGAATTCTATTAAGTAAGTTAGGAGGGCTCTAACGAAAGTTAGAGCGACGAATAAATCCAAAGCTAATTGATCTTTACGAGAGAGCGGGGAATCGTAAAAGTTCCATTCGTCAGAGCATGAAATCGTCCCAGCGAACCAATTAATCCGCAAAAGGCATGCACGCGTGTACATAATCGATTACGCTGCTCCCTCGCCTTTCTCGTTTCGCGTTTACCGAGAGTACTTCAAAGGCGAGTGCTAAAAGGAAAAAACCTGCCCGTGTTCCGTTTCTGTTTTTTTATTTTGGGTTCTCGATTTCTCGTTGTTTTTCCAACGTCATCTTCTACCTCCTTGGCAACGGGGCTCGCCTGTCCATTAGCATTATTAAGGGTGGTTTTCCGCCGCGTTAAGGGTATTAACGTTGCAACCCCGTTACTTATTGAAATTAAATCCGATATGTCAGACGAAACGAAGGCGAGAAATGACGAGTGTGTCAGAGGGCTGCGTAACGTGGCGTTGCCGGTTCGCTGCTCAAGGAGCTTTCGATGGTGAGAATTGAACCGCGGCAGTGATACGATACTTTTTCTTCGTTTTCTGCCTCGCGTCTTATCAGCGCGATACCGTTTCATGATATTTCTCGAGTAGCTGACATTATTGAATCTTCTGAAAAGGACGAAATAGTACGGAAATACGGAAGCTACTGAGCTCAATGGTTCTGGAAATATAAGTTAGTTTCCTTTCGTTGAGACTTGCTCGACGGAGTTCCAAAATTTTGAAATTGATGCAATTGAAAAGTTTCACGGAAGTTTGCAAAATTAAATTTAATAGAAATTTTGTCATAAGAGATGAGGAAACGTCCTGTGATCGCTAAAATTTGCTAAATATTAGGAACTACGATAAAAACTACAATCTACTATCTATAAATCTATAATCTATAATTATAAATAATATAAAAAAAAATATATAAAAATTAGAATGTAAAATGACATACATTTTCCAATAAAAAATTCTCTAACTTATATTAATGTACATAATTTTTATAATTTTCATAATAATTATAAATATCAATGCATTTGTGAAATGTATCACACTTTCACAAGGCTGCATCCAACGGAGTGTAAAGCGAGTACGGTACAGCGTATCGGTGGAGACAGTGCGGTGGGTGTTACGCAACAACCGGTCGCTTGTATAACAACAATGAGCACGCGTGCAACCGCTTTTCCCGGTTAAAAATAGCTGTTCTAAAATCCGAACTGGAAACGGGAGCGCAATAAGGCGACCCATTGTCTCGGCAATTTCTCCCGGCACCGGATTCAATTAAACGAGCAACAGGCATCGCAACGCTACGACTGATTGACATCGCATCGATCCTGTAAAGGTACGTATCCATTTCCATAGTGTCACCGTGGCGTATCATTGTTGCACGTATACACATACACGTCAGTTTATAAATTTTGCAATTAGCACATATTGCATTATTATTAGTATATTATAAAATAATTTAATGACACAACGCTTGTTCATTCCCAACGAGTAACAATGACACGATACGAGAACATGATACACGTATCCATACATGTTCCAATGATCATCCAGAATTTTTGTGAATTTCAGTGGGAGTCAAGCAAAGGGTGACACAAAGACCCTTGGGTGCCCACGTGTGAAAAGCATGAGGTGTTATCGACGTCGTGAAAACGACAAGTTTTAACGTGGCGACGAGTAAACAGGATGCTGCTTATCTGCAGCGATTCGATAGACGCAAGATATTGAATACCCTGCGTTTTCAAAACGAATAATGTGGAGAGGTAACGCAGCGACTTCCTACCGTTGCTGAGTAAATTGATCGATGATGATTGTAGGTTCTATGTTTGAAGACGGTTGACAATGTTGACTGTTTGATAAGACAGCGCGAGGATGTTTGCTAAATACTGCTCGTTTCATTCGTCCAAGTTAATTCATAGAGTGAAGTTAAGCCTCTGCGAAGAAATGAGTCGTGATGGATTTCTCATTTTCCTTGCCATTTTTTCTTGCGTTATTTATTGCTCGCACACTGATTCGCCGACCGAGTTACCGCTCCCGCGACCGACGCCCAGCGAGTTACTAAATAAACAGGACATAGAACTACTATTGGTTTTTTTCATCATCTTTGGTGTGAAGGCAATTTGTTTCATCCTGATCTATCTGTTCTGCTTCAGGCAGAGGAATCGAAGTGACTACGAGCGGCCGCTGATAGAGGAGGAAAATACTTTGAACAATGATTGACTAAGGTAAAAAGCAATTTTTCATTATTTTGAAGAAGTAAAATTTACTCAGTGAATTCTAATGAATTTCGAATTTTTTTAATAGATTATGAATCGATCGAAGATTAAGTTCACACTAACGAAGCTTTGGTTAACGTTTCCACAACAAGTATTATTGTAGTAGTATTAAAGAGTAACGAGATCATAAATATGTATGATGAGTATTAAAATCACTTGTAACATTGGATAATGTTTTGTACGATTTTCTTTCTATAATCCTGTTGGCAAAGAGAATAGGTCTTCTTTAGATGCTTTGATTAAACACAGCATCAAAATTAGCCCGGAAGAAAAAAACCTTTAAGAAAGTCCCTTCTAGCCAAGTGTTATTAATTACCAATTAACCCTTCCGCATCGTGAAGTTTTTACACAAGCCACAATTCTTTTACATCAGTTATGAAGCTTAAATAACAAGTTGCTTGTATATAGCTACAGAAAATACTCGTATAAGCGAAAAATCAATAATCCTTTATGAAAATAGTTATAAAGCGTATTAAGTTAATTTACGTTTTTAAATATTTCAATGCGTGTCATATGAATGCATTAAGCCGTACTTACAATTAGAACACGGGTCAGCAGAGATCGCTTTTCCCCACCGACAAGAGATAAACGTAGTCGCACGACCCGTGGACACAACAAAGACTCCATTACCGTAGTAATTAGGCTCGCTAATTATTTTACAAAGTTCGCAAAACCAGTTAACGTTGCCGCGAGACGCAATTACTCCCGCTCGTTAGTGTATCGTTACACGGTACAAGTGAAACATTCGCGTCCCGCGCGAATATGAATCAGTTTTCGGACGTTGAAAGCCGGTACCGCGTGCACAACCAAAAGGTACCCCGCACCTTCGTTAATTAGCACACCGCTGACAGCAGCCATCGCGATCGTGTCCGAGATTTCCTACGACCGGAAGACAGAAATAGAGCAAGGAAAATGCTTTCCAATCCCTCTTTCCCTCCTCGATTTTTCTCGTTCGTCTCGACGTTCCAGTTGGCACTGTATCAACGTCGTCGAAAAGTGACGAGGAAATCAACGGACTCCGGTTTCCTTTCCCGATGCTCGTCAACGCGAGTCGGATCCACCGGCGAGGGAAATGGATCCGACCGGGAGTCGATTGGGAACAACGGCGCAGGGACGATCGATGCCGGTGGATTTCGGTTTTTCCGGGTTACCGTGCAAAACTCACGGCGATGTACGATAGACTTTTAATCGACCACGCCCCGTGCTCATTGCGCGACCCAGTAATTGGAAACCGTGTTGTTTGTTCGCGTTATTACTGGCAACGGGATGAGCCCCGTCGACGATTTCGAGCTTGAATCAATCGATGCTCGATACCCGCTTTTTGTATACCCGTCTATACCATTCGTCGAGTGATTGTTCCACGGTATTGGCTCGAAGAACGAGACCGAAGACTGCGAAATCGATTCGCATTGATCAGAGGCGATCGCCGCGCGCGAAATTAACCAGAATTATTAATAGGCACACATTTGTATATAAAATACAGATCGTTTTAGCTGACAATTTTGTTAGATTGGACAATTAATACGGACCGGGGAAATGCTCTGTTAATTTATGTTAAAATAACTGAACTTCGTTTTGAACAGCATAATTGGCCCGGAGTATAGTTAAAACTTGGGTCACGTCAAAATACTAGTTAATTGGTTATGATTTACGACGATTTTCAATTATCAACGTCGGGAACCGTGTAATTAATCTTAATTATATTTACGTAAACAATTAAAAGTACTTTAGTCCGATCGGCACGTAACGCAAAACTGCCAATTAGAACAATTACAGTTATTCGCCGAGATAAGGACAAAGAGGAAACACTGATTAGATACTTCGAAACCAAATGTTGTTTTAAGGATGTNATTTCCTTCTATACTTTTTAGCACGTAGCTATTTATTATTAGCATTATTCTTCCGACGTCTGATTTCTTTTTAATTATAGGAAATCCGTTTTTCTAAGGTACATAAACTTTTCGGATTGACTGTATAGCCAATAAATCCTTAAGACAACGCGAATGAACTGCAGTTTCAAATATTTTCATTGAACGCAACATTCTGGAAATGTGTACGAATTATATTTTATTTCAACCAAATAGAATCTCAATTGGAAAGCGACATTATTTATTTTTCACATCGATGCAACGAGGAAAATATAATAACGACTACGCAGACTTCAAAGGGAGGGTCAACGGGGGAAATGAAAACGTTAATTGCGAAACGAGCGCGATACGCGCACTAGGAATGATTCGCAGCAATTTCTCGCGGGCGGCCGCGCGGTAGCAATTGGACGATATTGGTTCGCCACCCGAGCAAAATTGGATCGTTTCAAGGAAGTGGACACTTCAGCGGCGCGCACAGACGCTCCAATTCGCTGGTAATTGACTGGCGAAAGGCAAATCGTCTTGCGCGGCTTCCGGGTCAGAAAACACGTGTACACGCGTTCGTCCGCTTTTCAAACGACTAGAAATCTGTGAATTCGAGACCACCGCGAACTCCTGCTTCAATCAGCCGACCGAGCTCGTAACGATTCAATGATTGCAGGCAGAAAACTTGGATCGGTTCACTTAAAGTTTAAACGATTGTCAGGAGTCGTTGGAACTTGTCCCGGGAGTGCGTAAATTGTATCCCTTGCACAGAGTGACCGTCTGGCCTCAGAGATCGGATTTAAAAAATCACCGAACGTCGGAGAGGGGAACGAGCCGAAAGTTAAACAAAGGACCGTGGACACAGCCGCGCGTTTCAACAAATTCTAATCCCGTGGAAAGCACGGCAGAGAGGGCTTTCCGTCCTTTCGCTCTCCGAGCGAACTCATCGACCGGCTTTTGGTCAACGAGAGGTACCGAACGCATTCAGCCCCGTTTCCATTTGTTTTCCACTGCGACGAGAACCGACCTGCGTATAAATTTGTACACGCGTAGCTCGTACCCTTTGAGAAGAACGGCCGCAATTTAATGGTTCCTCTCCCTTTTGAATCCTTTCAACGATGAGTAAAGGTTTCGCAGAAAACAAATTTTTTGTGGGATTAAATTTTTCATGCGTAAACTACGTAAAAATTGATACCTAAAAATGTTGGGAGTAGCCAGATAGAAATGAGAATAAAAAATAGGAAGCTTGATAAAACAATTTCGACGAAGGTACTTGAAAAAACGTGTTAGTGGACGAGACGAAGTGAGACTTTGCCGGACAATTTCTTTTCCCCGCGACTGCAGCTGCAACGTACTTCCGCTCGTTAAGCACGTCCTGTGGCATTTCCATGCATCCCAATCGTGCATTGGTGCCCGGCGCGGCGCGTCGCGCCGGTGTAAATATAGACGGAGTCTTTCTCGAGTCGAGAGTCCCGAGTTTCGCCGATTAGAACTTCCCCTAACGGTTCCGACAGGGAAAAATGAGAGATTAGAGGCATCGCGACAAGAAAAGAAGAGGCATTCTTCGAGGGACACGTAGGATTTTACACATTCCAATCTCCCCGGAACGGAACATCAAAAAGAGACCAAAAGTAAATGTTCAAACTTGAAAAATCACAGCATTCTCCATCGAAAAATGATTTTTCATTCAGAAACTCGCTGCTATTTAAATGGAAGATAAAAATATATAAAATTCGAGAGCGAAGCTTCGAATTCAGCGTCTGATAAACTCGAGTCGCTAGAATAAAAATTGACGACGGTTAAAAATATTTCGACTGGTTCGTGACTCGCACGAATCGATTGCTTTCTCGACCGCGAAAGGGGGGTAAATGAAAATAGAAATGAAAAAATCCATTTCGATGTGCCGAGCCATCCCCATTTTCGGTGACCACCGAACAAAGCGGGGGGGAAGAGAAATATTGACAGGCTCCGGTCCAAAACCGGAATCCACGTGTCCGTCACATGGTCTTTTCCCACGCGTCAAACCGTGAACAGACAAATCAGCCGTACGAAAATATCGACGCGTTCCATCTTCAAAGAACGAGTATTTTTCATCCCTGCTATCTCGACTTTCCACTTGGATCAACGATTTTTTTATATCACCCAAAATTCGATGCAGCGACCATTGAAAATCGGTTTCAATGCTTCTTCTATCCGGAGTATATCTTTTATCGATCACCCACGCGCGGTAAAATATTATTTCAATAGGAATTATTTATAGATCGAACGACTCGGTCGAAAACTGCTCGAGGTTCAAGTATCAGATTTCTATTTTCGTCGGCTGCATGTCTCGTTACGCCCACCAGGCCCTGACCGTCAAAGAAAATCGTCGTACGTAGCCGACGCCGCCGTGCCGTGCCGCTGAGCTACCGCGGACGCGAGACTGGTTCCTTCGTGAAAAACAAAGAAAATCGAACGGAAAACCGCGACGTTTCCAATAATAGTCGAACACGGTTAACACCGGCCACTATTTATAGAGAGCAGTCGGTGCCGCCGGATCTGGATGCATTCTGCAAAAGACGACGACCGTCTCGACGGGCCAGCGTCTCGTCGGCTTCAAGTATTCTCCCTCGGAAATGACTCGAATGTGCCGGGATTCGCCCATTCAGACAGAACAAATAAACTACTTCGATTATTTGGGATTAAAATTTCTATGAACTCGACGTATCGTGAAAAAATATTCATTCTAACTTCCCACGTGAAATCCAGTATCTCTTCACGAGGATCAAACGGCGTGAAAAGGGTAACTGTTTCCCGTTATTGCGCGAACCAACAGTTAAATAAATTGTCGAACCTTTGATCCTTTCTATCCTTCACGCTCGCTGGGCAATTTCCAAGAACCATTTCGACTAGCCGCGTGGAACAGGTTGGTAAAGAAAGGAATCGTTCAGTATTGTGCAGAAACTTTTAAACTTGTAAAACGTATATGTCGCGACTTTGTAAAACCGGGAAATCCCGTTTTATTCGATTGGAAGAGCGAAAGTGTAAGGGAGTCGTAAAAAAAACGAGAGTTTCAGATCGGGCAGCGGTTGACCGTGGTGGTCCACGCGAATAAAACAACAGGAAATCGCAGTTGAAAGTCGAGGGAACGAGACAGTAGAAAAGCCAATATACTCTGACAAAGCGGACAAAGGGTAGCCGTGGTCAGTATTGCTCGAAGGATCACGAAGTTTGCCAGGATCGAAATAAGGATTTGTCCGGTGATTCGAGAACAAACGGAGGGGCAGAAAGTATCCAAGAAGATCTGAAAGAAGACGTTCCCTTTAGGGAAATTG